TTATTTTAAAAAGATAAATTTCATAAATTTGTGGCTCAGTTGCCTAATTCATTATAATAAATAGATCCTTCTCTTTCTAAACGATGAGTATACTATGAAAAGGAAAATTGGGGATGTTACCATTCTCCATTTTAACAAAATGGTCAATTCAAATTTCATACTTTTGTGAACTAAAAGGAATGCTAAGGCGTTAGGAGTTTTAAAAGCGACTATTATCTGATAAGTATTTTTGCATTTTTCTTGGCAAGTCAACAAATCGAATGTACCTAAGCACTTGAATATTTAAATATTGGCTTATTCCATTTTCAAATTACACCTCCCTCTGCTCTTATTCTAGACTTTAATAATTTTTTTAAAAAACTAAGCAATCTAGATTTTCTTACGAGTTCTATAATTAAAATGTTACATTTATGTTCTAGCACGCGAATAGGTTGTCCTTTCAAATGGAGACTGAATTGTCGAATATGCCCACTGCACTTTCAACTTAAGTGCACACCTTCTAAGCCACGCTAGAACACCAAAGCAGGTAACCCACATTACCTGCTGCAGCATGACGGCCTGCTGCTGTTGGAGAAGGGCTTGGAGTTGCTGAGGAGACAGGACTTGTTGCTGAAGGATCTGCTGCATTTGCTGAGGGGTGATCACCTGGGGAGTCATCATGGCCACTGACACAGGCACCTTGCACAGAAAGAGAAAAAGAAAGAGAAATGGTGGTCATAACCAAATATCTGTTAATCGACTTCACAAACATTATGTTATCGTTCATAAATTCTTTAGCAGTGATGATCAATAATTTTTGTCACATTTTAATATAACTTCTTTAAAATACTACTAAAGTATCACAAAACACAGACACTAGCTTTCCAGAGGCATCAGATTTCATCAAACTCTTTATGTTCCATAGCTCTTATTTAACAGGTTTAGATATTTGAACTTCGGCTATAATATCTATAGTCAAAAATAAACAACTACATGGCAGTGTTCTCAATACTTTATAATTGACCATCTCATCAATGTCACAGTGCTATAAATAAAAAGGTTTCTGAAATGTCTTAAAAGTGTAATTAAAATAAATAATAAAGGTTAAAAAAATTGGAAATAATATGCATATAAATATGTTATCCAAACTAGTAAAAAGCATGTGTACAGTATATTTACTTAAAAAATATAATCACCATCTTCAAAACTTTATATGTACATGATAAAGTACTAGAAAATACATAAGTCATAAAATTTAGCATATGAGAACATGTGGTAATTCATATAGGAGATACATATATATATATGTGTGTGTGTGTGTGTCTCTCTCCAGAAAAATGACATACATAGGTCTTCTGAAAGAAGAACTCACAAAACTAGTATTCTAGCTCCTTCTTTAAACCTTTTATTTCAAACAACTAAGTTTCTACCAGGAAGTACAAAAATTTAGCAGTTACTCAAAGCTTATTCATTGAACTGAAAATAATAAAAGTAATTTACTTAAAACTTTTTTTCTACTACTTCCTTTATCTTCAGGGTTCTGAGGTTGAGAGGCAAAATGAAGACAAGGAAGAAGAAAAAGACATAAAGGAAAAAGAAGGAAGGAAGGAAGGAAGGAAAATACGGAAAAAGGACAAGCTAGGGGGAAAGCCCTAGAGAAAGATGGAATGGATGTGAAGAAACAGGAAAAGGACGGCAAGAGTGGTGATCAGAAAAATCGGTATAGAAACCTAAAGTATATGCTCAGATAGAAGTCAAGTAACACTGTTTGAGGCATTACTTGTACTAACCAGTATGCCATCAAACAACTTGTCAACTTTCCAAGTTTGCAATCTTTGAAATAGCAATCACTTTCCTAGAAAAAACAATTCATTTTTACTGTAAATAAAAGCTAGTATCTCTATAAATACTGTTTTAGGACAAATTAATTGGACAACATGTCTTTGAAAACCTAAAATGATTATCAGATATAGTTCAGAACTTATTTTAATAGTCATTTTTTAATGCAGTTCAAACTTTTCCAGTGTGGCACTTTATGTTATGAAGAAAGTAGAAATTAATAATGAAAAGAGGTTAGAAGAAGTAGAAGAAAAAAAAAGAAATCCAGGGTGGATTAACTCTTCTCACCAAAAAGAAATAAAGAACCAAATAAATCAAAATCTTTCATATTTAATACTGAAAAATAGCAATGCCTTTTCTTTTCTCCATGTTAACATATTCAGATTAATTAGATCAAATTGAGTAACTTGAAACATTATGACAGAAATTCAGTGATTTAAAAAAAAATTTCTGTATTTTTAAAGAACATACTGGCATACCTATAAATTACTGAATTTGAATTTATTATAATAAGCATTCTGAAATGTATATTGTAAAATTAATTCACCAATGGGTTTTTCAAGTGTTTGGTTGATTTATAAAATTGACTGTCAGTTTACTTAACTGCTTGTTCTTTGATAAACAAATAGAATGGTTAGAACAAGTAGTTAGAAAAAAAAGTATCAATCTACAAAAATGTCTTTTCTTCAAACAATCATTTACCTCATACTATTTCCAAATAACAAGGAATCACACTGAAATGGAAAGAGAAAGACAGACATATTAAACTAAAAAGGCTGTCAATCTAGATATAGATAGATAGACAGACAGATAGATAGATAGATAGATGATATAGAGTTTACAGATATGTACATGGATATATATATATAGAGAGAGAGATATGCCTTCTATAAAGTTAATCATAGATAAGAAGCTTGTCACACTTCTCACCTAACAGCCCTTTATTTTTTCAGTATATAGTGTTTTAATTATTCCCATATTATTCCTTCATTATTCTTATACCTACAGGTACAAATAATTTATGTATAATGATAAATGAACTGTATGGGGAAAGTTCTATGAATGGAGGTACGCTATAAACCACTAAGAGTTTACAGTAAGATTTCAGCTTATACATATGACTGTAGAATTTTTTGTTATTGTGATTGATTTGATAAATGAGCAAATTTAAGCAAGTTTTCTATCTTCACATTCTTTAGAGTATACTAGTCCTTACACTACGTAAGTTAGATGATTATTTTTACTCTTAAAATGGTTTGAGTGCCTTTCAATTAATAGTTATGACAAAAATATAACCATGACATTATTATCTTCTTAAGATCATATGTATTAAATGGTCACATGTATGTGACTTTTTAAAATTTTAATCAGATTCTGGCCTACCTTCTAGGAAACTGCCATCTAAAACTGACAATATACAGACATAAAAACAAATAGAAAGATAAGCCAATTAACACATACATGATTGAACACTCTACTTCTATGTGTACAAAAGACAAATTCAAATTAATTATGGAGGTAGAAAAACACAGGTACACTTCTGAGGGTTTTCTAACACTACAAATAGACTAATATTATTATCTCTAAATCCACATATATAAGCTCACCCAAACTAAGGAGATTACTAAAAATCTAAATTATTTAATAAACAAAAAACTAGTTTTTTCTATAACAAAGGTCAGTAATATGCAGACTCGTTCACTTGTAATTTAAAAAATGCTGAGCCTCCATTTTTTAGTTACTCATTGTAAGTGACACATTTCCTCTTTTCCTCCCTCATCGTTTATTGTTATTGTCCCATTTCATTTCCTTGCTACCACGAGCTACTCTAGGTATACACTGATAAAAATGAATAAAGATTAACTGTATACACATAAAAATGTAGAGATTATACTACTTACAAATATTTAAATAGACAAAATCAGTATCAGCCTTTTAAAAATGTATGGATAATTTTTTTGAAATACACATGCCTTAGCAAATTCAGTGTTAGACTTATGGAAATATTTGTCACTAAATATGTAATTTGATTCATGCAAATATTCTAATAAGGGATCACAAGTTAGACGTGTGATATAGAAGAGGAGGGAGAACTTACTTCAGATGTTTTCTGGTGAGAAGGCAAATAAAAGTCTGGTGGCTGTACCACCAAATGAAATCAGAAGAAATAGCTCGTTTTGAATGGGTATTTATCAGTTAAAATGCTCAAGTGTGAAGGAAGGAAATAGAGTCATCTTTGGTTGGGAAATATCACTTATTATTAATAAGTGATATTAAATATATTTAGCTATGACATAAATATAACCATCACATCACTGTCATCCTCAAATCATATGTAAATCATAAAAACATATATAATAAATGTGTTTATATCAAAATGTAAAGTATATGTCATTGAGGAGGTCAAAAAAGTTATTACAAGACAATGCAAAGATCATGTCTCTGTTCAAATGCATCTAAAGAGTTATTGTAACAGTTATGAAAACAAACCAAAATTTTTGTTTTATGTAAGCACAGTCTTTTTACAGCCCAGTTCAGTTGGAGCATTTCTGAACGTGCTGGGTTTGCATATTAAGTGCGTCACTTAATTAAACATCCCAATTATGTGTGGGAGATTGGAAAGGTTCTTAGTATAGTGTCAGTCCAATTCTTTCTTCACTAAATGTGAATTGGAAATAGCAGTCACAATCTATAGATGACATTTACAGTATAAAACATTATTTTCTTGTTAACAGGGTCTGCCAACTACTGCTTCACAGATCTTTTTATTCTTTGCTTAAAATTTGAAGACAAAGGAAGTCCTGACACCTTTGCCTTCTTGGTACTTGAAAAATGTAACTATGATAATTAACTCCTTGTGTAATAAAAGCAAAATTTGTTCTCATGTTACAGTATCTGCTCTCATTTTAACAGACTAATAGAAAATATTTTATTGTACATTCTTGATATATTTATTCTGTTCACTTCTATCCTCTGAAATATATTTATTTACAGTTTATTTTAACATAAGAAACTATTTATTGCATTGAAACGCCAGCTTTGGTAAAAATTCAAGCCTTGGTTACATGTATAATGTCTATCATAATAATAGCCTTTCAAAAGCTCCTGGTTTTATGGTATTAAAAAGAACTGACAATGAATTGAGTGGTATTTGTAAGCTTTTCATCAAGTACTGAACAGGAGTATTTAAAGAGATCTGGGATGGACAGTGCATATTGCTATTTGAAGCAATCTTTTAGCAGCAGGGAAATAGTGTGACAGGAAAAACAGAAATAATATAGCACAGTGCAATAACAGACACAGATATTCCCTTTAATCATGATTCATCAATTAATTTCTACTATTACTTTAAGACACAAGTTTAGTATTCATTTAGCTACTTTGATAAAGCAAAGTGTTTTCTGTTTTGGGAAGTAGTGTTTGTCCAACTTGGTCCTTCTCTTAGTTACACACAAATATTTCAAGAGATTACATTCAGTTCTTTGTACTACTGGTGAAAACCAGACTGCTCATATAGGCGTGTCGTTGTAGAGATTATGGAGAAGTGATATATAATATGCTACACCATATGCTTAAAGGCCAAAAATGCAACTTCTAATCTCACTCTGGCTAATCAAGCTGCTCAGATTATTTTACATACATCTTTGGTTTAGGCCTTGACATGCCCTTGTTTTTCTTTCTTCTCAAAGCTAAAGTTCCCCTCTTTGATTAGCTGAAACATTTGCATGGTCACTACACATTTTTCATTTTATAAATCATTATGCATTAGCAGTCTTGATCGCCTAGCTTGACTAATCCTGACGAACTGAAATCACAGCTGAAGGTCAAACTCCATCCCACTGCACATTCATATTCAAACA